AGTTTTTCATTAATTTACAATAATAATAAACATTATAATAATCTAATATCTTTAATAATAAATATTAATAATCTGATTATAATGAAATATTTTATCAATAACATTTTTACAATCATATATATTTATTTATGCACAAAAGCTATTTTTTTGTAAAAATAGATATCGCAGGAAGAATCAAAGAACAAATTAAGGAATGTATATCCGGGTCGAAGAAATGTGAAGAGAAAGATGCACAGAAGATATGCCAGGGTTGCTTCTTGCTCTTTCGATTGACGTCACAAGTGCGTCATTGGAAGTAAAGAAACAAGAAAGTGCGATAATGATCACGATTGCATTGCAACAACCATAGTGCCCGGTATCGTTTGATTCTTTCTCTTTCTCGACAATCGGTCCATTATCTCGTCAGTTCAAGTGCCCCTTGGCCACTTGAGCCTATCTGTGCTGCTACTGTGTTTCGTTCGACTCTGTGTTCATTCTACGAAGTAACCATGTACAGAATAATGAGTAGAGCAGTGAATTTTTTTTCTATCATTGTCTTCTTTTATCACCCACGCATTATTTTTTATAGATCAAGAATGGCTGTTAATTACATATAATGATAAACATTTACAAAAAGATAAGATTAAAATATAAAATCTGTAATATTTTTTCATTATTAAAGAAAAAATAAGATTTAATATGTGAGTGAAATTTTAAAGTTTGAAAAAGAATAGTAAAAAACAAAAAATGATTTCAATATGTATTTTACATTTTTTTAGTTAAAATTATTATTGTAAAATAATAATCATCACTTAATCATAAATATTCATATTTTATATTTAATAAATGGAAATAATAAAATATTTATAAAAAGAAATGATAAAAAGAAATGTTTTTAATTTTTTGTTTGTTTTTTTTTTAAATTTTTTAAAAAGAATAATTTGTTAAGAAAATTCAATGAAGAATATAGGGCAATATTTTATTATTTTTATAAGTCAAAAAAATCAAAAATATATTTTTGACAATTTTTGGCAAAATTAAGTTGATCTAAGGCTAATGATTTATACTAATGATTTCCGAATAAATAACATATATTATCATAATTCGTTCATATAAATTTCTCATATATAATAGGGTACAATTTGATAAATTTACAATCAAATTGAAAATGATTTTATAGGTACAAGAATATCAAAAATTATTACATTCATTCATGCATAATCCATATTATTATAGCATGCATACAATTTAAAAATAAAAGATATATGTCATTTTAAATTTTTAATGTTATTATACAATTCTTACCTGTCCATTTTGATGTTATACTCTGCATTTTATTCCCGACTGACAACATAAAAATAATTGTAAACAATTTTAATAAAAATTAATATAAAATTAATATAAAAATGCAACAGAAAATTTTTATGTATGAAAATCATTTTTTATAATTAATTTTGAACACATTTAGACCACAGAATAATCTAACTTTTGAACTAAAATCTAAGTAAATTGATTGGACATTATGAATGTTCATTGTTCTCGCTTCACGAATATTAATTTTTAATTGTAATAATTGAAGTAAAAGCTATATATGAAATAACTGTACGTCAATCGTAGCTGATGGCCAACTGAACTCAAGATTTGAACTTGACCACTCCGCGGTAACTACCTATATTTCAGTTCCTGTATAAAGAGAGGGGGATTTATTGCATTAAAATCGGTCTCTAAAAGGGAAGCTTTTCACCTACAATTGACGCAAGAACCATTTTAACTATATATTTTTTTTTAATCTCTTTATTGTACCATTATATTTTTTTGAAGTTTTTTTTATATTATTTCAGAAAAATAATCGAATTTCGAATTCTAATGACCATCATTAAAGAGAAATTCCTTTAACAAAATAATTTCTTAATTAGATGAGTTTATCATTAATTTTATATAATATAATATAATAGAATATATAGTATAATAAAATATAATTATATAATGCATATAATAGATATTAAAGATAAAAAAAATATAAGAAATAAATATGTAACATAGATAATTATTTTTAATATCTATCATATAATATATATCTAATTTTTGGAATTTTTTAATCAGTTTACTTTATCTTTTTGTTTTATAAAATAATAAAATAATGGTTTTCTAAATAAATTTAAATAATATATTGTTTTACATAACATTTATACATTTACAATTTTTTGTGTTTTTATAATACTTCATAAAATTTAATATCTGGATTTTCAGTGAATTTTATAAATATTTGAGATTCTTTTTTATATTTTTTTGATTTGTAAGATTTTATCCATTTATCTAGTATTATTCCAGTTTTTAAATGTTTGAAAGTAATTTCAATAGATGGCTTAGTAATTAGAATTGTTCCACTTTTAATGTTAGTTTTCAAAAACTTCCAAATTTTTATATGTTCTAATTCTGAAACATAAAACTCAAATGGATTATTTATAATGATGATATCACTTTTCTCTATTATATCAGGACACATCTCAATTCTTTTATTCACAATTTCAATACGATCATTCATGTTGTATTTATTTACTATATCACACTGTAATGAACAAAGTTCTTTATTCATTTCAACTCCAATGATTTTTTTGGCAGATGTAAATATGTGTGCCTATATAAAAGATTTAAACAATTATAATATATTTACTTAATATACTTATAATATACTTGTTTAATAAACATTTATTTTAACAAAAAAAGAAAAAGAAATAATTACTCCATATAAAACAGCACCCAATCGAGACCCTATATCAAGTAAAACTTTTTCTTTCAAACATGGTAAAATATTATGAAATATATACAACATATCAGATACTGACATGGAATGTGATATAATATCTAAAATCAAAATCACTTGGTTTTAATCAAACAATAATTAAAAAAGTATATATATGTATAATTAAAAAAAAAAATTGATTTTTTCTTACTATATTGTTTTACATTAGTAGATCCACAGTCGGAACAATATAAATTATTCAATTCTCCCTTTTCTATAAGTTCATCTACTTCTTCATCATCATAAAGAAAAGCATCAATATGTTTTGTTGATTTATTATCACAGTCTGAATTCTGCAGAGTTATGGAACTTATGACATTTTTTGAAATGTATAAAAAAATAAAAATATAAGTTTTCTCTATTTTTAAAATAACAGACCTCTCCAATTATTGGTGGTACAATGTGTTCTGAGGGAAATATACCATCAAATGGTATTCTATCTTTGATATCAATAATAATTTTTTTTATTTCATTTAATTTTTTTTCCTGCAAACTACATTCCTTATTACAATTATCTAAAAAAAAGTTTTGTTTGTATTCTCGTGTTTGTTATTCACTATTATCATGACTTATTGTGTATACTGCATTAGTATGTTATATATACCATTTGAAACAGATTGAATGTTTATTTCTTGAGGTTTCCAATTATCAGTAATAAATGATAAAAATACTTGTTTATCGACCGTATTTAATGAACGCATAATAGTTGTGAATATTTCTATAGCATTTTGAACAGACATGTTAATATTCATATCCATACAATATGTAAGTTGGTAAGTTGAATCTTAAAACAGCATAAATATAAGAAAACTAATAATGTATTTACAGGATACTAATATATTCGTAGTATTTCCTTGGGTTTTAAAGATTACACAAACACAAATTGGTATAATAAAAATGTTGGTTAAGACTTATTTAAGTTATAAGCAATTGAAGTTTGCATTAAACGAAGTATTAAACAGAGCAATTGAATTTAGCGTTAGATGGAGATAAAATGAGATAGTTCTATCCCATCATATAGATATCTCACTCTATGTTCATTTTCATCTGACGCAAACTTCAACTAAATAAATCTTGATACTGATATTTTTTTTATTAACTTTTATTGTGACCTCTGGAATCAATACTTCTGGAACCAATACCTAAAGGTATTTTGTATAAATGAATGGAATTAATTAATATATGTGGAATATCTTTGAATTGATTTTAAACAAATAAAAAAATCGGTATACAAAAATATTGCTTGAATTTTATTAAGTAATAAACTATTTAATTTACATAAAGAGAGTTGGAAATAAATGCATGATGATACGAAGATAATGAAAATAGAATGGAGAGTTTTTCTTTCCATTTCGCTTCATTTAATGCAAATTTCAATGGCTTATAACTTAATAAATAAATTTTAATCGATATTTTTGTATTTGTTTTTATCTTTAGAATTGATCCGCCAAAGATATCTCACAAATATATTAATACTTTGTATATTTCGTTTTTTCATTCGTTTATTATCATGTGAAGTTAGTAGATGTGAAATTTTGATCAATACACATCTTTATTTTTATAATTATGTTATATATATTAGAATAACCAATCAGATTAATATTTTTTCTAATTGCCAATTATGTATAGTAATTTAATTGATTTTAATATTTTAATTAAAATAAACAAATTTTATAATGTTCTTGTATATTTGAATTTTACACTAAAAATAACTTAGTAGAAATACCATAAAATTCAAATTAAAATTAATTAATTCAAATGAAGTTTCATTGACTTGAAATATATAAAATAAATTCTATTTTTTATATTACAGAATATTTATTTAAAAAAAAAAGAAAAAAGAAAAAATTAAGTACAGAAAATGTTGATATGCATACATATATATGTATATATATATAATTATATATATATAAATAATTAATCTTAATAGTAATCTCTAAAGGCAAGATGTAAGGCACAATATGCTTTTTTATAAAATTCGATTCTAGTATATACAAAAATTTACTCTCATTTCCGCTTACAAAATCTTTTAACTTTATGAATTATTACGATTGTTCTTTTTAAAATAAAAAATTTAAATAAGTAACATTATACTACAAAATATGTTATATAAAATGTAAAAAATATTATATAAATACCTATTTACAAACTTTTACGATTTTCTTTTTTGATATCGAAATTTTTACTAATAGAAATTAATATTTTTTTCACATAATTCTTAAACTTTTTGATTCATCGTAAAGCTTTATTACCGTCAGAAAATTAATTGATTGCTAAAAAACTTACAATATCTAATTCAATGCTAGGAAAATACTGTTATTACAAGTTAAATCCTTGATATTATATAACAAATACTGTTAGCAACATATTACTGAATTATTTCTATTATTTTAGCAGCAATTCATATGAGATTCGTTTTAATATAAGAATGAATCTATTAAAATTATTATTTTATCAATTTCAACATCATAATGTATGAATAAATATAATATATATAATGCAATATAACGATAATTTAAAAAAAAAAAATTGAAAATTTCATTCTATCGCAATTTAGCAAGTTTAAAAATTTCAATAATATCAAATAATATTCTAAAGCATAATAAAATACAAAATATATAGCACAGCTGTCTTTTTTATGAGGCACAATATCATTCATCCTAAATTCAACGTAATTACTAATGTATTTACAACATAAAATAATAAACGCTAATTAATTTAAATCAGGAAACAAACATAACTTAAAAGCTGCCTGGATTAAAATTAATATAAAAATATGATAAATATCACGAAAATGAATATAATTCAATTACGAAATTATGAATTTCTGGTATACGTCTAATTAATTCCAAACTCACTAATTATCAGACTGTCAAATGGGTATATATAATAAGAGAGCGATAAAAATATAGAAATAAAAAAAAGAAATCAAAGAAGATATTAGACAGGTACTTTGCAAATTTTAACCATTTCATGATCGATCACGAATTCCTTATTCTATCTTGAGCTTTAAAAAATCGCAATTTACCGTGCAATGGGAAAAATTGAATTCGTAATATACGATCGTTAGGCAAATACGTGTCTAACAATTTCGATCGAAATATTTGAGCATACCTATTATGACACCCTGTAACTGTCTTGAAATGGATTATTCATTTGTAAATCTAACTGATGACTAAAGTTTCTTTAAAGTCTCACTAAAAAAAAATATCATTGCAGTATTAACGTTTGTACATCTTTGTCTTGATTCTTGTCACAACGGAAATATTGGCGTTCTTTATAAAAGTTTGATGTAACTTCTATCTGAAAATATATGGCCTGAGTACGAGGATTTTTCGAAGCACATATAAAATGGTTGTTTGCAGAGAAGCTGTTCGATAGCGATCCTTGGAGCAAAGAGAGATCTCAGTCTATTGATCTTCACTGGTCAGTTCCAACAGTATCACTGTTATGGTTGTTGTTGCTGTTGTTTTGTCCATTAAGAAACGAAGCCATTTCCATCTGCGACTGTTGTCCGGTCTGTTTAGAAACATTTCGCTTCTTTCAAATTTCACTCACAAAGAAGCATGGACATATAGATAATATATAACGTACGTATGTGATGTTCGGAAAATACAAAAGAAAAGCGGCTTCCAGAGAGAGTGCAGAGAATGTGCAAGTAGAATTTAAAGAACACGCGACCAATGGCTAAAGCTAGAAAAAACTAATCTTCTTAATATCGAGTAGTCTGAAAGCAGAAACACGTTAGTTGAATATAGATATAGTCGCGTGCAAAAGTAAGAAGAAAGAAAAAGACAAAAAATGCAAAAACTAACAAAGAAATTTAAAAAAAGAAGAAAGAAAAAATTTATAGGAGGAATACAATGAAGCACAAAACGAAAAAAGATGCCACTTTTAAATAAAATGGCATGTATCTGTAGATCCATTACTCGATTCATTTCGAGTCTAATCATCTAAATAGCACTTAATCAAGTTTGATGATAATAATTGTCAAACCAATGCGCTATTCTTGATAGTAACCTTGGGGATATATAAATAGATATTGCGATTTAACATTTATGTCAATTTATCCATTATATGGAAAAATAGAAGCATGAACGGAAGGTTAAATATAAAATTTCTGATGAAAATAAAGCATTTATATACATAGCCACTGTATGAAGATATGACTTGTTTACTTTCTATCGAAATTATTTCATAAAAATATAAATGTAATCTAAGTTTAGAAAAAATTATCAAATTATTTTTTTTGATTCTTAGTTATTTTAGAATTTCATTTCAATTATTTTTCAAAAATACAAGCTAATAGAACATACGATGGTACGATTAATAATATAAATATTAATAAGATAAGAGTGGCTATATATGCTAAAATTGCAAAATTTTTATGCGCCTAATGTACTATACACAGTCAGAAAGTCAGAAACTAGATTCAAAATAGGAAAGATAATAAAAAATTTTCCTTTCTTTTTTCAAATCTAGTTCTGAGTCATTCTTTTTCTTTGATAAAGCGGCAGTATTAATATTGCTACTTACAAATACCGACCTTAGGCTGTATTATATCTTCAGATGTATCAAGACCAGCAAGTGGATTTGAAGTTATGTTTATTTTTGAATCAGTTACTCCACCATTCATTATTCTTCCATTTGTTATTGGTTTTCCTAAGATAAAAAATGAATATTCAATTTTTTATGTAATTTATACTGTTTTTTGAGATATAATAATATTAAAATATACCTTCACTTTGCGATGATTCTCGACTTTGTTTGTATTTTGTTCTTTTATATATTACTGCAACTGCAGTTAAACTACCTAGCAAGGTTGATCCTCCGAGAACTCCGCCAATTATGGCATACATATTCACATTTTTATCGTCTGCAGGTCTTACGCGATTATCTAATGTTAAATTGCTACTATGATCATTTCGATTATTGTAATTATTATGTTCATTCATGTTCAAAGATTTTTTTGTTTTTTGTCGAAGAATTTGAGAAAATTCTGAAGCAGCATCCACAGAAAAACTTTGCACTTTAAACTCGTATGTCGTATCTGGTTGCAAGTGAGAAATAGTTATATTGAAAGAATCTTTGCCTTCAACTGTAGTTTTTATATAATCTCCAGCTGTAGTAGAGGCTCGATGGTATACATAAAAACCATCGATATTTGCCGATTTATCTGAATTTTGCCAAATGAGTAATACTTCATGCGGACCTAAAGCCTCAGTATTCGTTAATAAAGGTATAGGCATTTTATTACTTTCGATTCCACCATCTTTGTTAAGATGAAAACGTACGGAATTTGGACTAAGTTTATTATCATTGTTTGAATAAACTGCAGCAATTCTAAATCGATAAGTATGATCAGGTTGTAAATCGGTTACTTCAAAAGCCCGTACATTATTCGGTATTTCTGAATTTGCAGTCATCCATTTGGCTTGTTTGCCATTCATCTTTTGTCCAAGTTCTCGATATTGAACTTTAAAAAATTGAATTGGCAGTCCTGTATTTTCAGGTACAGACCATCTAACCATTACGGACACATCTGAAAGTCTTGTGACATTTGGTTGATTCGGTGGTACTAGCACCGCTAGAAATATATAAGACATGATAAAAATAAAATAAATAATAATGATTTATACGCAATAAAATGTATAAATGTATGTAACAAATTACCAGTGCCTTTATGTTTCCCTTCCTTACTTCTTCGTCTACCTCCTCCTCTAGTGTGTTTATGTTTTGAATTAGAAATTCCATAATCCTGTCTGATTTCTGTTGTTCCAATATGTTGTTTAGGATTTACTCTTAGCAAATTGCAACCAGAATGAGACCCATATTCGTTACTTGCAACACACTGGACAATACCAGCATGTTTTTTCTCAACTTCAGATATAAGAAGTGTAGAACCTTTGATTTCCACATTATCACTAGGTATTAAAGATTCTCCATTAATTAACCATTCAATTTTTGGTTGTGGTTCGCCAGTTACTGCACAAGAAAGTTCTAATTCTCCACCTTCAGAGAATGTGGATGCTTTCGGTGGTTTAATTACTTTTGGAGCTTCCATGACTTTTAATATAATTACAGATTTTATATGTGCATTATTGCTACTCCACATACAATCATACTCTCCTCTGTCTGATGGCTGAACATTAATTATCATTAAACCTATCAAATTTTTTATGGAATTTGATGGTAATGGACTGCCTAATCTACTCCATGTAACAGAAGGTACTGGATAACCAGCACCAAAACATTCTAATGTTATATTTTTGCCCCGTAAAACTTTGTATTCTGTTTGTGGTTGTTTAACAAAATATGGTGCTAAAAAACTAATATTTTTATGTACATTTAAAATTGTTTTATAATTACTTGAATATATTTGTGTAGTTATATAATTGCTAACAGTGCAATGGTAAGATCCACTATCTGATATTTTAGCATTCTCAATGATCATAGTTTTGCTACCAATTATATTAACATTTTGTATGAGATTATTGTTTTTATAAAACTGAACTATTGCTTCTGGTGCAGAATAAGGTACAGGACATGTAATAGGTACAATATTTCCTGTTGGAACATTTATAATAACATCATTTTTATCAGAAAACTTGTGTAGTGTAGCTAATGTTAATCTTGCCGGATCAGAAGCTAAACCACTTGAACCTAGAAATATTAGATGTATTATTTATATATATTTTTAATATTGAAAATAAAATCTTAAATTAGATAAAATATAAAATATTACCATAAAAAGCTATACAACGATAATCTCCGGCTTTCGATTCATTATCAAATTTTACCACATGCCTAGATGTTTTGCCACCATTACTAATTGTGTGAAAAACTGGCAACCATTTATCTGAACTCAATGGTCTATGGCGCCAAGAAAAACGTTCTGCGCCAAGATTCAAATTACATTCAAAATTCACGTCATCGCCTATTGGTGCATCCAGTGGTTGTGGATGTCTGGTAAAAGACATGCCTAATTCCTGCCTTTGCCCTGTCAATATTAATTGTAATATATTAATATATATATTTAATGTATTTATATGCAATATATTGAAAATAAGAAAAAAACTTACCATATACAAGACTGGCTAAGACATAAAATAGAATCGTAACAATGCCACATGGAAAGGGCACAGATCGCATCTTGACACATTCTATAAGCAAGGAAAATAGAAATTCATTGTATTAGTTATTGAATTCTTTTTCAATTCAGTTTTTTTTCTTTAAAAAAAAAAAAAAAAAA